AATGTGCTTAATCGCTATGGTAGGATCCTTTAATTCTTTCGGGAAGTGCAGAACCTTACCAGAGAACCCTGCGGTGGTCCTGGTCTGCAAGTCAGTATGACATCCACAAGTTAGGAAAGTGGGAATTAGAAAAAAACTCGCAGAGACTTGAGAGAAACTGGGCTGATCTAAGCTGCTTGGGGGAGCAAAAAAAAACGACTCCCAGGACCTCCAGTATTTATTCTTTAGAAGCGTGGGAAGGGGGAGCTGGGCAGGCCTTGGGACTCCTGCTGAGAACAAGAATCAAGCAGGCAGGACTGCAGAATGAGGGCACACGCATATCTTTCCTAAAGAGAACAAATGCTTAATTCCAAGGGGAGAATTTAAGTCAGTTGACTTTGACTGGAAGCAAACTCAGCCAAGCTCTGCTACTTCCAATGTCACACAGCCAAAATAGGGAGGGGCAAGAAGCTTGTGCCGTTACAGCCTGCTGATCCTGGGCAGGTGTCTGCTACAGGGAATATACCAAGAGGAGGTGTAGCTGGGTCGAATGGAACCTCTGGTTTTAGTTCTTTGAGGTATCTCCACACTGATTTCCACAGTGGTTGCACCAGTCTGCACTCCCACTGGCAATGGAGAAGGGTTCCTTTTCCCCACAGCCCCGCCAGGATTTGTTATTGGTTGATTTCTTGATAGCAGCCATTCTTTCTGGAGATGGAATTTCAGTGTTCTTTTAATTTGCATTTCACAAATGACCAGTGATATTGAACATTTTTTCATTTTTATTTGCTGTTTCTAATTCTTCCTCTGAGAAGAATTAAAGTCTTTGAAATTTGGGGGCTCTTTTTTTGAGTTCTCGATATATTCTAGACAGTAGTCCTTTATCTGATGAATAGCTGGGAAGTTTTTTCCCACACTGTGGGTTGTCTCTTCACTCTGTTGGTGGTTTCCCTTGCTGTGCAAAAGCTTTTTAATAAGATGAGGTCCCAGTTGTTGATTCTTTGTATTATTTCCTGTGCAGTCTGGGTTTTGTTCATGAAGTTTTTGCCTACTCCTCCATATATGTGCTGCTGAGGAAGCACATGCCTACTCCTATGTCAAGCGTTCTACCTATTCTGTCAGCAGATTTAGTGTTTTCACATTTAGATCCTTGATCCATTTTGATTTTAGGTTAATGTGTGGTGAAAGATACGGGTCTCGTTTCAATCTTCCACATGTGGAAAGCCAGTTTTTCCAGCACCGTTTCTTAAAGAGGCCATCTGTCTTCCAGTGAAGGTGTCTGGCTCCTCTGTCAAAGATAAGGTGGTTGAGTGTGTCTGGAGTTGTTTCTGCATCCTCTAGTCTGTTCCATTGATCCGCAGGTCTGTCCTTTTGCCAGTACCATGCTGTTTTTATCACAGTAGCTTTGTAGTATGCTGTCAAGTCAGAGATTGTGATGCCCCCTGCCTTGCCTTTGTTGCCCAGAATTGCCTTTGCTATTTTAGGTCTCTTCTGGTTCCAAATGAATTTTAGAATTTTTTTTTCTAATTCTGTGATATGCTGTTGGGATTTTGACTGGGATTGCACTGAATCTGTGTAACAATTTTGGAAGTATGGCAATTTTCACTGTATTGTTTCCTCCTATCCAAAAACAAGGGCTATCTCTTCATTTCCTGATATCTTCTTCAGTCTCCTTTTTCAGAATCCTGTAGTTTTCAATGTCGAGGTCTTTTACTTCCTTTTGTTAGATTGATTCCTAGTTATTTTGGGGGGATGCTATTGTGAAAGGGATCGTTTCTGTAATTTCTGTGAGTCTGTTATTCACGTGCAGGAAGGCTATTGTTTGTTGAGTGTTGACTATATCCAGCTATGCAAATGAATTTGCTTATAAAATCTAGAAGTCTTTTGGTGGAGTTTTTGGGGTCTTCTATGTGGAGTATCATTCAAAAATAATGTTAATCTAACCTCCTATCCTTATTCCTTTTCTTTCTTTCTCTAATCTAATTGCTCTGGCTAGTGTTTCCAGAACTATATTGAACAAGAGTGGTGACAGAGGACATCCTTGCCTTGTTCCTGATTTTAGAGTGAAAGCTTTCCCTTTTTGTCCATCTTGTATGATGTTAGCTGTTGGTCTGTCATAGATGGCTTTTATCAGATTGAGATAATTCCAGTTTTCTCCAGGGTTTTTTGTTTTGTTTTGTTTGGTACCGGGGATCGAACTCGGGTTCTTGCGCTTACGCAGCAGGCAGCAAAACCACTGAGCTAAATCCCCGGCCCTCTCCAGGGTTTTTATCATGAATGGGTGTTGAACATTGTCAAACTTTTTTTTTTGCATCTATTGAGGATCACATAGTTTTTGTCATTGGCTGTTAATACAGTGTATTATATTTACCGATTTGCATATGTCGAAAACGTTCCTGCATCTCTTGGATGAATCCTACTTGGTCATGGTGTATAACCTTGATTTGCTGCATTCTGTTTGCCAGTATCTTACTGAGCATTTTTACTTCCAGCATGTTTTCTTAATTTAGTTTTGTGTTTTTGTTTTGAGACAGTCTTGCTATGTAGTTCAGGCTGGCCTTGAACTCACTCAAATACGCAGCAATCCTCCTACCTCAACCTCCCAAGTGCTGGGATTAAATGCATCCATCACAAACCATACCTGGCTTAATTTATTTTGAGACAGGCTCTCACTATATTATGCTGGCCTTGAACTCACTCTGTAGCCCAGGATGGTCTCAAACTCCCAATCCTCCTGCCTCAGCCTCCCAAATGCTCTTACTATGACCTATACTATAGGCCACACTGACTTTTCTTTGCCAGTGGTGGGCTACTTCCTGCTTTAGGTCACTCACCACTCTACATATTAAAACCCCAGGTTTTCCCTGTTTTCATTTTTTTGTTTCTCTGGGGCAATCCCCTGGGAAAAGAACGTAACTACTGTACTGTTTCAGCATCTTGGCCAGGTCACGATGCTAAACCAGATCCGGTTAGTAAATAAACAGTCCTCCCACCCCCATGGTGCTGGGGATGGACCCCAGGGCCTCAGAAATGCCAAGCAGGTGCTTGGCTCTGAGCTCCACTCTCAGCCCAACAGCCACCTTTTAACCACATGAGGAGCATCCGTTACGCAAAGTCTGTAATCAAACACTGAGAGCTGGGGATGTAGCTCAGTGGCACCTTGCCTGCCTCACAAGCACAAGGTCCTGAGTTTGATCCCCGGTACCAGGAAAAAAAAAAAAAGAGAGAGAAAGAGAAAACACTATGAAATCCAAAACTCTGAGGGCCAACGTGACACTGGAAAAGTTTCAGATTTGAGAACATTTTAGATTAAGGATTACTCAGCCCTGTAGTTCATGATACATAAAAGAAACTGATGATTCCAAATATTGAGGATGTAGAGCACCTAGAATCTCGGAATACTGGTGGGAACGTAATATGGTACAAGTACTTATAAAGTTAAACATGTTTACCATATAACCCAATAGTTCCATGCTTAGATTTTTACCTAAGAAAAATGAGAACAAAGGGGAAAGTACAAATATGCAAGGGAGTTTTATTCATAATAAGCAATAATCAAAGGGTCCATCAACAGAAGATGTGATAAATTACGGTAGGCCCATAAAATGAAATAATTGTACAGTACAATGAACAGACTACTGCTGGGTATGCTAGTGCCTGCCTGAAATCCTAGGCATTTGGGAGGCTGAGACAAGAAGAAAGCATGTTCAGAGTCATCCTGAGCAAAAAGGCCCGAGGGAGGGGTGGGGCAGGAGTGGCTCAGTAGTAGAGTACCCCTGGACTCCCCAGAACCTGAGCGGGGTGGGGAGATAAGCCACTACTGATGCTTATAAAATGTAGACAGAGTTCAGAACACATGTTGAGAGGCTGGGCATGGTGGTACATGCCTGTAATCCCAGCACCTGGGAGGCTGAGGCAGGAAGATCACATCTGAGGCCAGCCTGGGCTACAGTGTGAGACCCCGTCTCCCAAAACTACAAGTTGAGAAGCCAGGCACGAAAGGATACATAGCCTATGATACTGTTTGTATATTTTGGAAAGGTAGACCAGTTGCCTTGGGCCAGTAGTGGGGCAGTGGGCACGGAATAAACTGAGGAGCAACAGGACTATTCTGCAGCTGCACTGTGGAGGAAGTTCCACAGGTACACACGTGTCCACCCATGCATCCAACCTAAAGTCAACAGCGGCAACTTACTGTTTGTTCTTAGTGCACAGGTCCCCACTCAAAACACCCGTGGTGCCAGGCTAGACAGGCAAAGTGAGCAGAGCACTCAGGCAGCCTACAGGGGCCTGCTCAGATAGCCAGAGACCAGGTGTATGGCACAAATAGATCTGTGTGTGCTGTCTTACTTTTAAATGTAGCACACCCAGTTCGTAACTTTGAGAAATACCACACAAGCCCAGGAGCCCACAGGCCAGACATGGCTCCTAGTAGCCAGCTTGTGGTCTGCACCCTAAAATCTGCCCCACGCTGAGTCAACAGAGCCCTGAGCTTTGGACCGCCCACACCGGCTTTTCTGGGGTGAGCTTTGGCATTCTTTACAGAACTCATCACGGAACCCACTAAGCTACATTGCCAGCCCATTCTTTACAACCACTTCTAAGATGCCCAGGCTGGCTTTGAACTTGCAACCCTCCTGCCTTAGCCTTTCCAAAAGTTGGGGTTACAGGGGTCTGCTTTCCAGACCCTCCTTGATGGAGGTGCTGGAAGCCTGATGGTAGTCTGGGCCTGGCCATTTAGGTGAGGCCCTAAGGGCCTCCTCGGCAAAACCAACTCTGGGAATGCACAGTACACGCTCGCCTCTGGGTCTCATCTTCTGGAGGCTCCTTCCTAACGCTTGGGTTATCATGGGCACCTGGGAAGGCAGTGTGGCCGTGGGGACCCCAGGTCTCCCTTTGCCGAGAGGCTCAAGGCCTTGCTGTCACTGCCCCTGGAGCGTGCATGGCAGTGCGGGAGCGGGTTATGACCCACGATGGCCCGCCAGGCTGGGCATCTGACACCCACTTTGTCCCTGGCTCAGTTTGGGGGCAGCCCTGTGTCCTGTGCAGTGGGGCTGGCTGTCCTAGATGTTTTGGAGAAAGAACAGCTCCAGGCTCATGCTTCCTACGTGGGCAGCTTCCTGATGGAGCTCCTCCAGCAGCAGAAAGAGAAACATCCCATCATCGGGGATGTCAGGTAAGCTCTGTGGACAGCAGTCACTTCAGTACACGCGAGTGCCGGGACGCAGTGTGGTGCCATTTCCCCTCACCTGGATGGTAGGAGTGTGTGTAAGCATGGTCTCTCTAGGGGAGGAACTGAAGTGGAGGCACTGCTGCCTAACGCCCAACTTCTAGAGAAGGGAAAGCTGGGTCCAATCTGATGCCCAGTGTTTTCTGTCCCCACCTACAGCCCCTTCTCCCTCCCATCACTCCCTGTAACTGTTCCCACCTCTTTTCAGGGGCAGGAGGCTCAGGCAGAGTGAGACAACTGCCGTGGCCACCCAGACCTGGTCTTCTGACCCCACCTTCTCTTCCAGGGGCGTTGGGCTCTTCATTGGGGTGGATCTGGTGAAAGATGAGAGCACGAGGACTCCAGCGACAGAAGAAGCTGACTACTTGGTATCCAGGTATTGCCTTTTTTCTTTCTTTTTTTTTTTTTTTTGTGGTATCAGGGATAGAACTCAGGACCTTGCGCTTGTGAGGCAGGCACGGTGCCCCTGAGCTAAATACCGGGCAAGGTATTGCTTTCTTGAACCAAGTGGCCTCGTACAGCAGGAAACACTGTGGTACCGCTGCACAGCAGGGGCCCGAGCTTGCCTCTGGCCTGCCCACCCACCCAGTTCTCGTACTCCGGGCTCACACCTGGCTGGAGAACTGTGCCTCGCCTCCAGAGGTCCAGGTCCCAGGACCGTGTGGCTCTGTGCCCAGGACCAGAGCCCTCCCCAGCCCCGCGCAGCCTCTCCGCCAAGCATGCCAAAGCTGGCGGGGTGCTTAGGACCAGGCAGCCCAGAGTTTCACACAAGGGCTTGTGATGGAACAATACCTGAGGGCTGCCCAGAGTTGCAGGTCGTGGGCTTGGACAGGACCGTGGCTCAGCCAGGGAGGTGTCTTGTGTGAACCCACAGAGCTCACACCAGCCCAAGCCTGGTTTGTCTCGCATGTGCCCCAGGCAGGGCCTGAGGCCTTAGGGCTCTGCTACCTTCTGTCTCCATTCCCCATGATGCCCCTCGCCCACCATGGAAACACCCTCTAGTGGGTGCTTCTGCTTTTGGGGGATAGATGATCTGGCCCAATTCACCTACTCAGAACTGATCAAAGCCCCATGCAAGGGACTCCCCTCAGTGACTGGCCTTGGGATTCTGAATGCTCACGTGGCAAGGAAGCCAAGCCCAGGCACATTTCTTTTCACCTCGAGACTCTTGGATTCTTGCTTGAAGGAGGCCATTCCACCTGCAGTCACCCTGCCGTGGGGGCAGAGCTGGACCCGCGCCAGGGCTGCCTGACTGCAAAGTCCAAGCCCTGTTCTTTCTAGCACCGCCACCAGTGCCAAACAGGACAGGAGGAAGAGCCAGAATACAGACTGAAGGGATGCCCTTACCTCACCTTCCCAGTCACAATGTTAAAATAAGAAATAGAGAGGTGCACGCAGGAGTTAGAATGAATGTAAATGCAGTCAGACCCCTTTCTCAGGTGGCCAAAATAAAATGATTCTTAGGCACAATACAAGGAGGAAGACGGTAATCTTCCTTAAAGAATGGGAAATTTAAAATACTCCTTTGTGGAACTGCCAAGTACTCCTGAGGGACAAATTACAGAAGCTAGGTTGAGTGCTAAGACTTTATTCAGTTTATGTTGAACACTGTCCATGTGAGAAGTGAATACCTTTCACCTACACCATGCATAATAGAAATTGCAGTGGCACAAGCCAGTAATCCCAGCATGCTGGGAGACTGTGGCAAGAACATCTTCAACTTGAGCCCTGTCATGCAACCTAGACACTGACTCCCTTTTTTTTTCGAAGGGTGGAGTTTGAGGCAGGATCTATGTAGTCCAGGTTGGCCTCAAACTCATGGCGATCCTCCTGCCTCAGCCTGAGTGCTGGGATTAGAGACTATCATGCCTAGCCCTTACTCAAATTTTTAATAAAGGGCTGGGGATGCACCTCAGTGTGAAGGTCCCAATTCTGGTACTGCAAAAGGGAAAAAGAACCACCCAGGCCCTCTCTCACTGTAGTCTAGGGTAACCTGTGGGCACTCCACTCGAGGCTTGGGAAGGAGCAGGAAAGCTCAGGGCCGTGGGTACCTCAGCCTGACCAGGGGCTGCTGACGCCCAACCAGAGGCGAGTGCCTAGTCCTGGTGGGCAGTGATCTCTGAAGGACTGAGGGAGGGCACTGTGGCTGGAGCCCTGCGCACTAGGCCAAGGCCAGGCCAGGCCAGGCCAAGAAAGGCCTTAAAGGTCACGCGCAAAGGCATGTTCTATCCTCACAGGTTGAAGGAGAACTGCATCTTGCTGAGCACAGATGGCCCTGGAAGGAACATACTCAAGTTTAAGCCTCCAATGTGCTTTAACAGGGACAATGCACGGCATGTGGTGGCAATGCTGGACGCCATTCTGACAGGTGAGCCAGAGCAGCAGCTGCATGGCTGTCTAGAGCTCCCCCGCAGGAACGCCCACCAGCTGAAGCAGGGTGTTGGGACGGCAGATGCTCAGTGGAGGCCCCTCCCAAGTCCTAGCCATGCTTAACAGTTGAGTTCAAGTGCCGGGAGTGGGACAGGCTTGGTATTGGGACCAGTTAAGCCTGTGAAATCGGATGCGGTTACAATCGGTTATGCTGGGTACGGACAGCAGGAGCTTCCCTCTGTACTGAGGCAAGGGCACCTCAGCGGCTGGAATGGGACTGGCCCACCATCCTGATCACCTAGGAAGATCAAGCTTAGCCCATGCTGCACCCTAACACTTTCAGGGAGACTGCTACCAAAGTGGATGGAGCTGTGTGGCATATGCAAAGCTCAGTGAGCCCCCAGAGGGGTCAGAACCACCAGCAGCAACCCTTGAACACCTCTGCCCAGGGCCTGGGCTGAGACCTACCTAGTCCCTGCTGGAGGTGGTGGGGGCTGCCAGGCCACAGAACTGATGGGCCAGCTTGTAAGACAAGGACACCGCTGGCAGATGTGTGGGTGAAAGGCCACCCAAGCACCAGAGCAAGGCTGATCCAGGTAGGGCGACCTTTTTCAGACATGGAAGAGAAACTCAGAAGCTGTGAGACCCTGAGGCTTCAGGCCTGAGCCACCCCGGCTCAGTCACACACCCGCCCCCCAGGTGAGTGACTTGCTTGTGTCTAGAGATCAGGGGTGGTGTCCCTCTTCCCACAGCCCTCTTCACAACAGGGAGGCTCTGGCCTATCAGCAAGTGCCCCACACACGTAGTGAGCACGCTGGCTAACCGGGCAAGTGTGCAGGAGCAGCCACCTCCCCTTCCGTGGGTAGCGCCCGATAGGACCCTTTCCCCGCAGAGGGCGTGAGCAGTCCTTCCAGGCCGCACTCCGTGACTGGGCAGCTCTGGGAGGAGGCCCAGTGCCACACACCTGGTGTTCATGACTCACACAGCTCTCCATACTCACCCAGGCTCGGGGGTTTTTACAATTTTATTTCAAAAGCTTGGATAGCTTCAGTATCCAGGTCGTGGCAAAATCAGGACACGTGTAAAATACCTTACAATACATTAGATTCCCAAAGGTACCAAAAAGTACAGTAAAATTAACACTTCCATTACAGGAAATGTATGACACAAATAATATAAAATTAAAAGGTGAAAAAAAGGTGACACTGGTTTCCTAAGATACGATTTACTCTTTACAACCAGGGTCCACAGGTCTAGGACAGGTCCAGGCTGCAGGGCGGCAGCAGGAAGCAGACCCTCCAAGCTGGTTGAATGACCCGGTAACAATCAGCCCCTCACGCCACCCTGGCCTCTTGAGACACCACACGCTGCCTAAAACTAGAGCTCTGGAAATAGTAAACAGGAGAGTGATTTCCAAGGGAAAAATTTTAAATAAGATGCACAGGGGTAGGCCATAGAAAGTTTGCCAAGTTAAATTTGGTACATAATTGTTTACTCCGTATCCAAACAAAGCATGTGCGGTCAATCAGCCGGCCGCTCCTGCTGCCACCTCAGTATGGCTTGTAGTTATTCTGATGGCCACCGCGTCGCTGGCTCTTCCCGTAATTTGTACTACCCTGACCTAGGGACGAGAACAAGTAGCAAGTACTACTTACAGAGCAGTGCATTTACCCTGTGCCAGGCGCTTGGTACACATCCTCCTACGGGACCCTCAGAACCCTCACGGTAGGACTGCCTTCCCGCCTTACCAAGGCCCCCGAGCCAGACCTGTCTGACTCCAAAGCCCCTGCTGCCAGCGGCCCTGCACTGTCTGACCTGCCTCCCCTGAGGGGAGTGCGCCGGGCTCCCTCTCTCCTACTTACTGTAGTCGTAGCCGGGGCCGTAGCCGTAATAGCCATAGGGCGAGTAGTCGTAGCCGCCATAGCCAGGCCCGTAGCCCTGCTGGTAGCCGTAGCCCTGGTTCCAGTAGTTGCCGTAGCCCTGATTCCAACTCTGACTCTGACCTGTGGGGGGGAGCAGGGCACAGGGGCCCATGGGCCGTTTAGCACACGCAGGAGCTAGGATGGAGGAGATCCTGCCCTTTGGGTGGCGGGGTTCCTGTGGCAACTCAGGCAGAAGCCAGGGACCTGCTGTCTGCTGTAGAGGGCCCTGGGCCCAGCCCTGCACCTGAGATCCTGTCGGGCCAGGATGTTCACTTCCCTCACGTACAGGTAGGTGGCTACTCACTGATGCCCCCACCCTCCCTGGCAGCTTGGCCTTGAAAAGATGCAGTTCAGGCTTTGGAGTCAGAGGGGCCTGGGATGGAAGCGCCTGGCACAGCTCTACCCTACCCTTCTGCCCAACCCGGCCCTGGGTACCCCAAGACTCAAGACAGCCACGGAGCCAAGCACAGCCCACCATGCTGCCGCCCAGAGTGCAATGCCAACGCTCCCTCTGCGCTGGGGCCCCAAGCAGGATAAGACCGGGCTCTTCCATTCCAAGGAGCCGCAGCAGCACAAGCACACAGCTGATCCAGGAAAACCGCTCCCATTTCCACTTGCTTTGCCTGCCCACCCTGCGGCATGAACACCAGAGGTGTCCAAAGACAGGCACAGAAGACATTCTGCAACCAGGGAGGAGGACCCGTCTTCATCCAGATTCTGCTTACCTCCACCGCCACCGCCACTGCTGCCTCGGTTCCCTCGGTTGCGGTTTCCACGGCCCCCCGAGCCGTACTGCTGCTGCTGATAGACTTCTTTGGGCTGGGCCACCTTGATTTCACACTGAAAGAGGAGGACAGCGCATCAAGTCATGGGACACACACAGGATAAAGCTGAACACAGACCTTCACTGCAACAAGCAGGCACTTGGTCAGTCGGGCCGCCCATCGCCTACGGACAAAACACACCGGGGCAGGACACATTTGGGCTAGAAGCTTCTGGAGCCACAACCAAGGGCCTTTCTGAAGAGAACCTGTCCTGGGAGAGCACACTAGGGTTTGACAGCTCAGCCCAGGACAGCAGCACACATCAGAGTCAGAGCAGAGGCCGGACAGGTCAGCGCCACTCTGCTCCTACTGGGCAGGTGCAGCAGAGGGCCAGACTCAAGAGGTGTTAGCACCAGAGACTGGGCTTTTCTGCCTCCAGAATCTCAACCCACTCAAACTCCAGAGGAGACTCAGACCTCCACCTGACAGTAAAGGGAGCTCAGAGCTTAGGGCGGGGTTTTGCCTGGGGGCTACAGGCCCAGTCTGTTTCCTTGTTGCCCACTGGAGGGGGCTTGGTGGGGATTTTCAAGTGCTTAGGCTTAATAAACCAGAGCAGTGTTTTTAGGGGGGTTTTTTCGAGTTCAGGACCTTCCACTTGTCAGGCAGGCTCGCCAGAGCAATGTTTTTAAGTCTTGACATCCCTCCCCGCAAAACAGTAAAATGTACTTCTGCATTAGATCCCCACAAAAGCATTCTCTGAACTGGAAGATAACCTCTACCTAAGCAATATGTTTTCTATCCTGCTTCATTAAAAATACTGAATATACCCAACTCAATCTATGTCTGAGAGCTAAGTGGCAGTTCCACAAATTTCAGACTCCTTCCTACCACTTCACGTTAGGAGCACACACATAAAATGGTGCTGCTGCTGATTAATGACCAGCCCAGCGGTCCTGTTTTATGAACATTTAGGTGCCTGATTAAAAATTTTTGGGGGGCCCGGGATTTAGCTCAGTGGTTTCGCTGCCTGCTGCACAAGCGCAAGGACCTGAGTTCGATCCTCGGTACCAGAAAAAAAATTTTTTTTTTCCTTTTTGTGGTATTATTGAACCCAGAGGTTTTGCAATGAGCTACATTCCCCAACCCGCTTTAATTTTTTGCAACGAAGTCTTCCTCAGTCACTTACACTGCCCAGGCTGAGCTCAAATTTACAATTGTGCTCCCTTGGTCCCCAGAATGCTGGGACTGCAGGCACGACCTCTAGGCCTGGCCCTCATCTCCCCTTGTCTGGGTGCCACTCCTGCTCTGGCAGCGCTGCCCACACCCAGGCACACCTTCACCTCCTAACTGCCAACCCAAACCTAAACTGCTTTCTCCCCTGGCAGAGCTGAGAGGCCATCCGCCCTGTGTGACTGCACACACGAAGGCAGCACGAGCTGGGCTGAATGATGGTCCCCGATTCTCTGGGATCTTGGCAGGGAGTGGCTATCGAGGTGCCCAGTGACTGAGGTGAAGGCTCCAGAGCAGAAAATGTCACCTCAATACACTGTGGGCTGTAGGTCCAGAACCCTGCTCATCCCTGGCCACATCTCCACACATCCCTCCTGCAGCGCTAGCCCTATTAGCCCGGGAGCCCCTTGCAGGACAGAACCGCTGGCCCCAATGAGGGGCAGACACTGGGGAGGAACAGTTACACGGCAGCAACCCCAAGAGCACTTGGACACAGCCCAGCCTCCCTGCGTTTGCCTTTGCCTGCTCAGGCCAGCTCTCCAGAACAGCGGGCAGGCGTGCAGCAGGGATCCCTCACCTTGCTTCCACTGATGGTGTGGAACTTTTTCTCCAGAACCTTCTTCACAGGATCTTCTTCTTTAAAAGTGATAAAAACAAAACCCCGTCTTTTGTTCAACTTGGGATCCATTGGGAGCTCAATGGCCTCGATCTGTAAAAATACAGCAAAGCTCAGAACCAAAGCTCTCAGGAAACATAGGGAGCTCACAGGAAAGACCTACTGCAGGCCAGAGTAAGAAGCTGTGCCAAGGACTCCAGCCGTGACCAAGAAGCAGCAGCCTCAGGGCAGGCAGCTGGCAGCCCACTCACCTCCCCAAAGTCGCCGAAGTACTCCCTGATCTTCTCTTCAGTGGCTTCAGGATTCAGGCCCCCCACAAAGATTTTCTTCACAGGGTCCTTCTTCATAGCCATGGCCTTTTTGGGGTCAATGACCCGGCCATCCAGCCTGTGTTCCTTCTGGTCTAGGACCTGTTCCAAACAAACGGGATCAGGATTGAACCTCCCAATATGACCCCGGGGGCCCTCTCGAGTCTCAAAACTCCAGCTCATGTAACACAACCAGTGCGCTTCACCCCTCCAAGCTACCCCAGCCCAAGACTTCTCCATCCCGTCCTCTCCCTGCCAAGCAGTCCGGGCTTAGGACCCATCTCCTTCCAGGAGGGAGCAGTGACTGAGCACAGGTGGGATATATCCTGTAGGATTGGAACCCTCCTGCCTGTAACTAGCTACACGACCTTTCCATTTAGATTTCTCCAAGTCTTAGGGTTTCTGTTTTCCTGTAAAATGAAGCTAAATTGCCTATTCTCCTAGCAATCTTGGATTATTTTTGTACTTCCCACAGGCAAGTGTTTAGCACCATGCCCAAGAATGGGCAAATAAAAGGTAATCAGTGTCAACTATCATCTTCCTGAAGCACTCCAGCACATACTCCCCCTTAATCTTTATTCCTTCAAACACGAATTTAAGTTGCTAACAGCTGTCTCCAAGCCGCCTACCTCGGCAGGGCACAAGCTAAAGTTTAGGGCTGTGGAACACACTCCTCGGGATTCACACTCACTGAGAATACAGGTACTCAGCTTACCTTCTCCACACTGGCAGCATCTTTAAAAAGGATAAACCCGAACCCTCTTGACCGTCCGGTATTAGGATCCATCTTTATTGTACAATCAACGACCTCTCCAAATTTAGTAAAATAGTCCTTTAAGTCTTTTTTGCTTGTGTCCCAGCTCAGACCACCAACGAACATTTTTCTGAAAACGGTAGGATGGGACACACGACAATTGTTATGAGAAAGCTGTGATTCCAAGCAGGGCTAGCCCTGGGTAATCTTTCTCTGTAAGGGTTAAGGTCCTCGTCCCGTCGACGAAACTCACATCCAACCTAGCGTGCCGTCGGTGAAGGGTACTAAGCCTCCCTGCCTTCCAATCTCAACTCCACCTGGACCCCTCTGCCCTCCCGCCTCGGCAGGGGAGGGACCCCTGACCTCTCGCGCCTGGAAACGCTCGACGCACCACCACAGAACTCAGGGGCAGCGTCCCTTCCGGCCTGCACCTCCCGCGGCTCGCGGAAAGGAACTCCGGGCTTCCTGGGGCCGAGGCCGCGCAGGGTTCACAGACCGTGGCTCCGCCCCCGGCAGGAGGCGGCGGAGGGAGGCCCGGGCCGCCGCGCGCCAACTGCGCCCACGCCGCCCCGGCTCAGCCCGCGGCCCGGCCTGGACCCGGGGCCGTGCTCCGCCCGCCCGCCCGCTCCGGCGCAGAGGCGGCGGCGCCCAGATCGCCCCGCAAACTCCGGCCAAGTCCGCGGCGGCGCCCCTCCCCCCGCCGCGTGGCGCCAACAAAAGGCGGCCCCGGAACAAAGGCGACGCCCCGGCCGCACCTACCCCGCGTCCTCCTCGTTCTTGCTGGCGTTGATCTGGTCGCCCTCGGCGCCGTTCTGGTTCCCGCTCGGGGGCGCCGCGGCTCCCCCTCCGGAACCCGCCGTGGCCCCGCCGCCTGCCCCGGCCGGCGACTCGCCCTCCGGGGCGGCCTCGTGTCCGTTCTCGGTGGCGCCCGCCGTCTCCATGGGCTGCTCCTCACCCGCTTCCGACATGGCTGACCAGGCCGCGACGCCTCCTGCAGCGAGCGACGGCGTCAGGCGGCTCGGCTCCCGCCCGGCTCCCGCCCGCCGCCCGCGGCCCGGCCGCTCACCTCGCCGCCGATGACGCCGCGGGGCCCGCTCGTCCCCACCCGCCGGGGAAGTCGCCGCGGGCTCGGCCGCGCTCAAGCTCGCGTGCCCCGACCTCGCCTCCGCCTGCCGACGGAGCCGCTCCGGCCGAGTCCCCTCCTCGACCGCCGTTGTGCAGAACCCACCACCCACCGTCCAGCTCCAGCCCGCGCGATGCCGCCGCTTGACAATGCCGACTCGTGGCGCCCTTTATAATGCCGGAGCCGGGAGCACCTCGCAACAAAGTGCGCGTTGATTGGCTATTGCAGCACGCCACTCAACCTAGCGCCGGCTTCCCATTGATCCAGATGATGCGCGCGCTCTAGATTCGGGCGGGCTTTGTCCTTGTTTCAGAACGCGCGCGAGTCGGGTTCTGCGGCGGCTCCAGGCCCCGCACTGGGGCAGCGTGCGCGCAGAGCGGCTCCCCGCCGGAGCCGGTGCCGTCCGGAGCGCGCCCTCTTGTCCTCGCGCGCCCCTCCCCACGTGGCCGGCCTCGGCCTCCCCAGTTCCCCAGAGAGGAAACTGGGCGGGACGAAGTCTCGAACCCGAGGCCGCCGGAGGGAGTAGCAGAGCCAGGGCTTCCGAGATGAGGCATGTTGGGTTCTCCGAGGCCCTCGGCGGACAGGGAGGGGCTGAGGCGCGGCCCGCCTGCCTCCCGGACCTCGGGGTCCGCGACCAGCCGCGCTCCCGCCCTTTCTGCCCCTCCCCCGCGACGGGC